GGGCGCCGAGCCGCGGCTCCGCTCTTCTCTGGGAGGGCGAGGGGGCCTCTTCGGCCGTGTGTCCCCTAAAACCAGCGTCGAGGCCAGTGTGCGCCTTAAACAAAAACCAGCAACACCCGAGAAATCAAACCCCAACTGACAGGCTAAGCTGTTGTAAAGAGTGCTCTCCTGCCGGCACAGCTGTAAGGATAGCCCCCGGCAGGTAGTACTGATGTTGCTGGAAGGTGTTTGGGTACCTGAGACACCCGAGTGACACAGGAGAGTAACGGATGAGGGTGTCGATTGCTGTCCTGAAATCTGTTAGCGGGTAAATGTAAGCTCTAAAATAGAGCCCAGCAATCAAGACACATGCCTGGCGTGGAGTTAAAGTAAAATACCAAGTGAAGAGCACACAACGGTGGGTGTGCCCTAACTGCTGGCTTCAGCATTTAAACTAAATGGAAGCTGTCAACTGTAAACCCATTTATTTTATTTTTCTGTGATACTGCCTTTGAAAGAAGAACCAGGTAGTTTGTTTATTTATTTATCTATCTATTTATTTTAGTTGGAAGATAAGGAAGATTTTCATGAGAAATTCATTCATTTCCTTAAGTATGCTATGATAGTCTACAAACGGGAACCAGCAGTGGAACAAGTGATCAATTTTGTGGCTAAATTTGTTACTTCATTTTATCAAATGGAGAAAGAAGATGGTAGTGAGGAGGGAGAAGAAGATAATTTACTTCTAAATGCCATGCTTAACTTTCTGCTTGAGGTACAGTAACAATTTAAAATATTCAATGTAACAAACTGAAACTTCATTTAGTTGGGAGAACTTACTGGTGCTCAAGATGATACAAATTAGAACTTAAAAAGTAGAAGCAAGGCAAAGCTGGTGCTTTTTGGGTAACACAACTCCCTCCCAAGCCCAAAAAACCCGCTACGCCCCTACCAATAGCCCAACAACTGGGTTTTGAAAGTTCGAAGCATGAGAAAATATAAACTGTTTTATTATATGGCTGTCATTTGTGTCTTCGAATGCTTTATTGTAGGCACTTGTGTAAGCGTGATGGAAATGAATTTATACTGTTTCTTTGATAAGTAAAAATATTAAAAGATCTTTTATGCAAGCATAATTGGCAGCTGTGTTACTCCATTCTGCTTATTGCAAGTGTTATGTAGGAAGAAGCATGAAAACACAAGCAGAATTACATTTTCTAAAACTAGTTTTTTGAAAATGAAAAATTATGGATTAGGCCAAGATCACTAGTAATTATGGCTAATATATTTTCTTTTGTTCTTCTCATATTTTATGGAGACAGAGTGGTAAGTTAGCTAATGTACTGTAGTCTGCGCTGTGTGGTATAGTTTCTTCCTTTGTGAAGGCATTGCTGATTACGTAAAGTGCCACTGATATAAGTGATGGGCCACAATTGTCTTCCAGTTCTGTGACTTTTTAATCTTACTAAAACCAAGCTTATACAGGAAAAGCTTTTGAAATACAGAGTGCATATTTGTTGTACTGTGTAGAATATTAGCTAGTTACTTGTTCATATGAGTAGCCTTATGTTGGAAATGAGAAAGGTGTGATTATAAGAATACTCTTCTTTTTCTTTCCCCAAGTCTCATAATGCGAACAGCCATGCAGTTAGGTTTCGAACATGTCAGCTCATTAATAAGATTTTGGGAACTATGCCAGAGAATGCCCAGATTGATGATGACTTATTTGATAAAATTAATGAAGCTATGCTGATTAGACTTAAAGATAAATTTTCCAATGTAAGAATTCAAGCTGTCTTGGCCCTGGCAAGACTTCAGGATCCTAAGGATGAAAACTGTCCTGTTGTTAAAAGTAAGTACTATTGTTTCTTTTCTTTGTTTAAGAACTTTTGTTGGTTTATGTTACTTTTAAAACATTTTTATCCACTGAGTAAGCAAGTCTTAGAGGATATTCTTCTAATACCTCTTAAGCTGCGGAGTGCTTTGCCGTATGAGACTGTAGGTGCAAGAGCTGTTTATGTTTGTTGCTGTAAGGGTGGCAGAATAGTTTTTACTGCCTTGAGTGGTAAATCAGTCTTTCAAAGAATACTGCTTCAAGTACAGGAAGAGGTGACGAAGAAGTTTTCCAGCTGGTTAGTAGAAAAAGAAGAAGATAGTGTGCATCTGGAGATAGCAAGTAGACTGTTGTTTAGAAGGTTTTAACAAGCTATTCGTCCTTGGGGGTGTATGGAACCAGACTTAAGCGGGACTTTTCTAGTCAAAACCCTTGTCATGGTGATTAGAGGGTACCAAAACATCAACAGTTGCTTATGAAAGTCTGAAAGTGAGCCAACATTAAATGCAGCAGTGGGAGATTATGACTGCTGACTCAATTCAGAGTGCTGAAAACTTGCCCCCCCACGCCCGCAAGAAGCATGTGTTCTAATTTAAATCTACCTAACCAATAGTGATTGTAACAGTTATCACTAACCAGTAATTGTAGAACTAGTGGCAAGTTAGGTGTATTTATACTAATAAGTTACAAAATAAATATGTTACAGTTTTGCAATGCGGTATACTAGTTTCATCTAGCATCCAAACTTGGCCAACTTTGCTAATAAACCAATATTTGCTTCGTAGACTATCATTTGATTTAGAGAGTTCTTTCTTTTAAGTTGCTACTTTTGGCAACATGTTCAAGGGAAAAAGAGAGAACTTGAAGAAGAAATCTGCTTGGGATTAAATGACACACAAATGATATTGGGCCCAGACTATTCTATTTGTTGAACATAGCATAACAGTGCGTTGCGAACTGGGATGGAGATATGATACATACTTGCTGGGTCGTTACCCTCTAAGGATCCTTTTGTTAATTGAATTGGGTTTCTACAAAACCACTTAGATGAATAGAGATGATGAATAGAGATGATAATAGAAAAATAATTTTGCTTCAAAAAAGCCCAAACAACCAACCAGGAAAGGAGGCAGTGAGATATAGAATAGTAATGATCATTAATTTCTGGTTACGTAATTGCTGCCATCGTGAAGGTTTTGGCTTCTACGACAATGGGACATTCTTTGATGACTATAACCTGCTAGGGTCGGATGAAATAGACTTGTCTCGAAGAGGCAAGAGAATCTTTGGGGCTAGGCCAGCCGACTTAGGAAGGCTTTAAACTGAATTATGCAGGGGATGGGGTCCAACATGGCAATGTGGGTGCCATTGTGCTCAAAGGGCAAATAGATAAAGCAGCCACAACAGTAACAGCTGCTCATCAACTAAGTCTCTGACGCGTCTATACAAATGCAAGAGGCATGGAGAATAAGCAGGATGAACTAGAAATCTGCATGCAGTCACAGAGCTATGATCTCATCGCAGTTACAGAGACATGGTGGGATATCTCATGACTGGAATGTGATAATGGATGGCTCTGTACTTTTCAGGAAGGACAGACTGACAAGGCGAGGTGGTGGAGTTGCTCTTTAAGGAACTGGAAGGCATTAAGCTTAACCCAGGGGGAGGTGACGATAGTGTTGAAAGCTTATGGCTAGGAATCAAGGGACATGCAGACATGGGAGATACTGTTGTGGGGGTCTGCTACAGACCACCAAACCAAGAAGTTGCAGGTGAGGCCTTCTACAAGCAGCTAGAAGTAGCCTCAAGATCACGCGCTCTGGCACTCATCTTCCTGATATTCTTCCTGATATCTTCCTTCAGTCCTCCTGGTATTAGTTGGAAAGATCACAAAGCCAAGCACAACCAGTATAAAATGTTCCTGCAGTGCATTGATGACAACTTTCTGCTGCAGATGGTTGAAGAACCAACGAGGAGAGGTGCGATGTTGGACCTTGTTGGGTTCTAGAGGAGGCAGGAGATCTGCATGGATAGACAAGGAGCTCCTAGAAAAACTCAAATGGAAGAAGGAAATTTACAATATGTGGAAAAAGGGTCTGATTAATCGTGAGGATTATAGAAATGCTGCCAGAGTGTATAGAGACTCAAAAAGAAAGACCAAGGGTCTCTTGGAACTTAATCTGGCTAGTGAGGTGAAAGATAACAAGAAGAAATTTTTCAATCTGCATGGATAGACAAGGAGCTCCTAGAAAAACTCAAATGGAAGAAGGAAATTTACAATATGTGGAAAAAGGGTCTGATTAATCGTGAGGATTATAGAAATGCTGCCAGAGTGTATAGAGACTCAAAAAGAAAGACCAAGGGTCTCTTGGAACTTAATCTGGCTAGTGAGGTGAAAGATAACAAGAAGAAATTTTTCAGGTACATCAATGAGAAGAGGAAGAGTAGATGTGATAACAGAGGATGCAGAGATGGCAGAATTGCTGAATGCCTTCTTTGCCTCAGTCTTTATTCCTAAGACTAGCCTTCAGGAATCCCAGTCACTAGACATAAGGAAGCAAAACTGGAGTGAGGAAGACTCTTCACTGGTCAGTGAGGATTTGGTTACAGACCTCTTGGAGCAACTGAAAACATGCAAATCCAATGCAATGGGGCCCAATGGGTTGCATCCATGTGGGTTGACACAGCTGGTTAATATTGTTGCTGAGCCCCTCCCTATCATTTTTGAAAAATCATGGAGAATGGGAGAGGTGTCTGAAGACTGGAAGAAAGCCAGTGTCACTCCAGTCTTCAGACAGGGCAAGAAGGAGGACCCAGGCAAACACCAGACCAGTCAGCTTCACTTCCATTCCTGGAAAGGTGATGGAGCAACTCATTCTGCAGGCCATCTCTAACCAAATGGAAGAAAAGAAAGTTATCAGGAGTAGCCAACATGGAATCACTAAGGGGAAGTTCTGCTTGACTACTCTGATATCCTCCTGTGAAAGTGTGACCAAATGGGTAGATGAAGGGAGAGCAGTGGATGTCATATACCTTGACTTCAGGAAGGCTTTTGATACTGTCTCTCATAACATCCTCATAGGAAAACCCAAGAAATGTGGGATAGATGATTGGGTGGTGAGGTGGATTGTTAACTGGATCAACAATAGAGTTCCGAGGGTTGTGATCAGCAGCACAGAGCCAAGTTGGAGGCCTGTGGCCAGTCAGATTCCCCAAGGATCAGTACTGGGTCCAGTTTTGTTCAACATTTTCATCAATGACTTAGATGAGGGGATAGAGAGTTCCCTTAGCAACTTCATTGATGATATAAAACTGGGAGGGGTGGCTGACACACAGGAAGGCTGTGGTGCTGTCCAAGGAAATCTGGACAGGTTAGAGACCTGAGCAAAGGTGAACCTCATGAAGTTCAGTAAGGACAAGTGTAGAGTCCTGCATCTGGGGAGGAATAACACCAGACACCAGTACAGATTAGGGGTCATTGTGCTGGAAAGCAGCCCCACAGAGAAAGACTTTGGAGTCCTACTGGACAGTAAGTTGTCCATGGGACAGCAATGTTCCCTTGTGGCCAAGAAGGCCAATGTGGTCCTGGGGGGCATTAAGAAAAGTGTGTCCAGCAGGTCTAGGGAGGTTCTCCTCCCCCTCTACTCTGCCCTGGTGAGACTACCCCTGGAATCCTGTGTCCAGTTTGGGGCTTGCCAGTTCAAGGGAGACAGGGATCTGTTGGAGAGAGTCTGATGGGGAGCTACGAGGATGATGAAGGGACTTGAACATCTCTCTTATGAAGAGAGACTGAGGAACTGGGGCTGTTTAGCCTTGAAACGAGATGGCTGAGAAGGGATCTTATTAATGTATACAAATATCTGAGGAGTGGGTGTCAAGAAGAAGGTGCCAGTCTCTTCTCAGTGGTGCCCAGTAATAGGAGAAGGAATAATGCGTCTAAGCTAGAACATGGGAAGTTCCATCTCAACATGAGGAGACACTTCTTTACTGTGAGGGTGACAGAGCCCTGGCACAGGCTGCCCAGAGAGGTTGTGGAGTCTCCTTCTCTGGAGACTTTCAAAACCCACGTGGATGCGTTCCTGTGTGGCTGCCTTAGGGGATCCTGCTCTGGCAGGAGGGTTGGACTAGATGTTCTCTAGAAGTCCCTTCCAACCCCGAATGTTCTGTGATTCACATTATGGCTGTCAACCCCGTGAGAGGCAAACTGGCTACTGGCATTGTTGACCTATGGTTTATTTGGGCTTTTACTTTTTTAATTTTTCTTTCCTCTGAATCTCATCTTATTCATGGATCTCTTCCTTTAAGAGATCAGCATCTCTGGAACTCAAGTTTCCTGATGCTATTTTTGTGCCCTTTGTGGTTTTCTCTGTGTATAGTATGATTCTTGACTAAGCCTCTGCTTCCATCCAGTGGTAGCCAGACGATAGTTTTGTAAATTAAGCCCTGCTTAACCTAATATACTGTCCTTTGTGAAAAGCTTGTTATTAGTTGGGTGGGTTTTTTGTTTCTAAGGTACCTTCTTTGATATTATATTTTCTAAGTGTTTGTTTATAAGTTGCCTATATAGGAGCACATAAATTTCAACACAAAGCATTATGTGAGAGATTTTATTTTTGAGTTTTGGTAGGCTTAATGGACATCACAATTTTCCATTTGTAGGAAAATTTGAGGATTCACCTGAAAGGTAATGGGGATGTATAACCAGAGAACTGGAGTCTTAAGGAACTCACACTTGGAAACTTTTTTTTTCGTGGCCAGTAAATGACAAAGTGGTTATTTGCAGATGGGATCTAGAGTTGTTTTGAGTTATTAACTGAAGATCCTACTTATGATTGCAAATATTAATTTTGTAGTTGAATTTCTTTTGAGATCATGGCTCAGCATGCAATTGCCATAAAATCTTAGGGTTTTGACCCTAAACTGTTACCTAAATTTGTATGAGCTATGTGGGGAGTGGGAGAGTTAATAACAACTGCTGATTTCTATTTTTTAATTGGTTTTTTTTTGTTTTTCTATAATGTTTCAAACTCTTATAAAAACATTATTATGATTTTTTTTTTTTTTTACTTTCAGTTTACAACACATTGCTTGAAAATGATTCAAATTCAGAAGTGAGGCGTGCAGTGCTGTCATGTATTGCTCCATCAGCAAGGACTTTGCCAAAAATTGTAGGCCGCACTATGGATGTAAAGGAAGCAGTCAGGAAGCTGGCATATGAGGTAAATTGGATCACTTAATATTAATTTCAAAGACTGACTTAGGAGAAAGACTTTAAATCTTTTATTATATTTCACTGATTAAACACTAAGAACAGTTGAATAATTTATTTTCACTTACCAGAATTTTGAGGGGAGTGATAACACAAGTTTTCAAGTTAAAACCCCTGAACTCAACTGCAGAACTTGCTTGATAGAATTATTTTTGTGATAGAACTTGGCTATTCAGGATGAGAGAGTAAAAATATAAATTATGTATGCAATATTGTTTTCTGTCCATGCATTTTGCAACATTTGCGAAACAATTTTTCTTCTTAGTTATTACACAATAGATAATTAAGTAAGGTTAGAACCACAGTAATACCAGTGTTAAAAAAAAAAAAATTGCATATTTCTGGTATTCCAATTTTGAGAAGGATCAACCATTCTGTATGTTTACATGCAGAGGTAAGGGCCAGAAATTACGCTACCATGTGTATTTCTTGTGCAGGCATCTTGGACAAGATCTTAAAACAAAATGTTCATTTTTTTCACACAGAACTGTCTTCTTGTCTTTCTTAATTTAGATTAAATTCTGTTTTTTAACTGAATCTCTGCTAGTAGATTTTAGTAAAGTACATACTTTGGTCATTTCATTGCATGTATTCATTGCTTTTGGAGTTTTAAGGAGAGAATAGTTTTCGTATCCAGTTATTGCACTCAAGCAGTGCTGCCAAGTTTCTAAACTATTTTAACTTTATTTTCTTCTCTGCACAAGAATCTGCTTGTTACTGTACTGGTACAATGTTGATGGTATCGATATTACAGGCTTTTATTGACTTACAATTTCTGTAGATAGATAAAACTGAGAGTTTAAAACCACAGGTAGTCAATGAATTGAATTGTTATCACTTGCAGAAATATATTTCAGTATCATTTTTTTTTAGGTTTTGGCAGAAAAAGTTCACATGAGAGCCCTGTCAATAGCACAGAGGGTAAAATTGTTGCAGCAAGGGCTTAATGACAGATCTGGTAAGAGATCATCTTTCATTTTAGTACAAACATTTAAAAGAGAATAGCTATGTGCTTTTGAAGAGAAATCTTCTCTACTGGTTAGTTTTTCATTTAACTAGCTTGATTTTTTTAATGAATTTTTGATTGACCCTCATTAATTTCATCATGAAGCAGTTTTATTCTTTTTGATGTCTTTTTTAATTATGTAACTTTTTATATAAAGGGCCATTCAGTATGTACCTATGATTGTGTGTGGTGATGTTGCCAAAAGATCTAAAGGTCACATGTGTTTAAGACAGACAAATTTGGCCTGCCTACATAGAACATAGTGGTTTTTTTTTAACAGAAGCAATTATATACATGAATTTCACAATAAAAGCTGCCAGTTTTACTAAGTGCTACTGTGTTATCCACGTACTTTCTTTGTAATTCTGTACTAAGACCTGTCAAATTTTGCTCTGAGAATTTTCCTTGGTTGGTGATGTGCTGCTTGTGAACTGTGAGAAACATGATCTATGTGGATATTCACTTAGAGAACAGCATTACTGTGTTAATTGGTAACTGGATCTCTTAAAGGTGTGCCATGTATGCATGTGGCTTTTTTATCTGCCTTTCTCTTTGGCTAGTTGGGGATCATGTTAATATGTTCTTGAAAGCAAAGAAGGAGAGGATCAGCGGAGTGCTTTCTTATGCTGTATAGAACTATACTTGAAAAGAAGTCCTCCTTCTCTATAACAAGTTTTAATTAGCAGTTGTGCCCACCTACCCATAATTGTTTCATAGTACTCTAATGAAGTTTGTCAGGTTTTGTTTTTGAAGTCCGGTACTAAAAAAAACATGTTCTGAATTACTGTTTCTTATCAGTACACTAGTTTGCTCTTTGGCCTAACTAGCTGCTGCTTGTTTGCTGGATGCCACCATCTCCCCTCAATAGCACTTGATCTTGACAGATAATTCTTTCCTCTTGGGTTGTAGTAATTTTTCAAAACTAGAGGGGAGCACACCTTCATTATTTTTTTCCTATGATCCTTCATTTGTCAGGACTGAGGATTTGTTGTATTCCCTTACTGAGAAGCTACAGCCTTTCTGTGTAGTCTACATTTCAGCAACATTGAGGTGTTCGACCTAAAGAACTGCCTTTTATGATCCAGAGCAGATACTTTCTCTGTGTCTATCTCTTCCTTAGAATGGTTCTTCTTCCTAGCTATTGAGGACTTGTTCTTTTTCTTGACACCTAGAATCACAAGGGCAGATATCTGCCAGGGTATGTAGTGTTACTGATTCATTGGTACAGTATGGTCCTTGCTGGGCAGAAGATGATTATGGTCCAAATTGGCTGCATTTATAGATGTACCTCCACTAGTATTCCCTCATTTTGATCTGTTTTGCAAATTCTATAAACTTGAATATTGTTATCGAATTTGCATCTTTGAGTAAGAAGCTAACAAGAGAGGAACTTGCTTTTATTCAATTGCTAGGTTGAAATTTTGGATGTTTTTTCATATCGGCTTCAGATTGGTTTATAGTTAGACCTAGAATATATAAATCCAAATTCTGCTTAGTTCTTCTTTCCAGGGTGCATTCAACTGTCAATTCTCCACTCATTCTCTTAAGTTCTACTACTGCTTTTAACCTTTCTGGAGAGGCTTCTCATTCTTAGGACCTTAAATTAGCTCTTTCAAGGCCTTTTTACAGCTCTTTTTGAACTCTTTACTATATTTAACTGCTCTCTTTATTATCATAAGTTACACATAGGAGGAAAGATGAATGTTGCCAGTGTGCATTAACTTTGTTTCCCTTATATTGGATATTATTTTCTAAAAGGTCCTAAGACCATACTGGTATCACTCCATGGTTATTTTGTTTTTACTTCTACCAGACTATTAGCTTTTCTACTTCCCTGCTTAAATCTGTGTGTCTGTATTACTGATGTGCGTGTTCTAGATGTTCCCATAAATACTTTTGTCCTTGATTAAATAGTATTCTACTAATCCAGAAACTACTTGTTCATCATGGCAATAGGGAGGAAGGACTTAAGAGTATTTTAATGTAAATTTTGTAATCCAGTTGAATAATTGAATTAACACAAGAAATCTGTGTGGCAGTTCAGATTAAAGGTCTATGCACTAGTATTCTGCCTCCAGAAGTGGCCAATTTCTAGGTGCCTGAAACAGAGAGTATATAACAACGCTTCCCCAGAATATTTCCTTTCTCTACAAGAGTTCATAATTTGTAGGGTTTTGTGAGCCGAGATGTTGATTTTAGATGTAAAAGTTTTTGGATAGAGGTCTTTTTTATTCCCTGTGGAGAAAAAAAAGACATTACTCCAAAAAGTATAGTAGAGCTCCATAGGTAGTTCTTGTTTAACTGTGGTTTGTTTGGTTTTTTTTTTTTTTTCTTTTTTCTTTCCTTAAGGTAATGTTAAGTTCAACTGTATAATAACTTCTTTTCCAGAAAGCCTTCTGTAGAAAAATGATATGTGGAAAGTATGTTGAAGACATGGTATTTTTTGACATTTAACATTTTAAACAGTTTATCTTCCCGTGTTATTAGATGCTGTTAAGGAGGTAGTGAAAAAGAAGCTGCTTCAAGCCTGGTTACGATTGACTGAAGGGGATGTTTTAGAAATGCTTCACCGACTGGATGTGGAAAACTGCCCAGAAGTGGCCATGCCAGTACTAAATGCTCTGTTTTCATTATCTCCCCTTCATGACTTTGTTAAGAACTGTAAAAACCTTGACAGCAGGTATGCAGATCAGTTTTCATTTGCAAGAGATTAGTATTTTGTGTAAGAATATTAACTTAAAGGTTATATCTAAATGGGAAGCAGAGTAACTATTACTTGCGATGAAAGACTGATGTTGTGGTGTAAGCCACAACGTCTTCCTTGTGTTTGCTTCCTGAAGTGTTTTGGATATGTGTTTTTATTTTCCCAAAGATCTATGTTCACCCACTGAAAATGATAGTGCCGGATAAGCAAGAGGAAGAAATGAAAAATGTCTTTGACTTTATTTCCTGAACACCTCAAAAATCACCCTCTTAGAATTTAAGATGAGGCAGTAAATTAATCCACTAAAGTATTTCTATGAGAATAACTTAGAATGTAATTTGTTTTATTTCCTGTGCTGTCTCTACAGCTTACAGTAAAGGCAAGGCTCTAATTCACCCCACAACTGTACCTTCATCTCTTCTTTTGACCTGTGATACTGCAAAGCTTCTTTCCTCCAAGTCTTTGTCCCTCTCAGTAATGCTTCTGGTCTTTTTCACACATTTCCTGGTCCTTTTTGGCTTCTGTTTATCCTTTTTGTTGAGCTAGAGGCAGTGCAATGTGGGGCTGGTTCAGTTATCCATGAACTGTTTGGACAAGCAATCAGAATGGGCTTATTTGGCTCATGTTTCTTGTTGGCTGCCTTTTGGAGGTATTTTACTTGTATTTACAGAGTTTGACAGAAGTTGGTATCTTAGGAGATTTTTTTTTTCCAGTGTTAATGTGTGGTAGAATTTGACCAGGTGTGCTCCTAAGGTATGAAGAAAATGACATGATGACTATTAAGATCTGTAAAGCAAAAATGAAGGCATGAGGAAAACAAGAAATTAGAAGATAGGCAAAAAGGTGTGAGAAGAAACAGCTTGAGTTAACTGAGGCAACCAGAGAGGAATGATTATTAACAGTGGTAGGGGTCTAATCTCGGATGATAAATTTAAATGACAAATTGTCACTGATTAAAAAGTGATGACACAATCTCATACAGTGTTTTGGGGGAAATTATGTAATGTCGTCATACGAAGTGTCTTGCATTCTAGAAGACAGATGTTTTGAAGTCAGTAGATGCTACATGCATTGTACTCCAAAGCTATAGATTGGGGCCTCTCTGGCTTTAAAATCATTGGTAGTTGTGAAATAACTTTCTTGCAGGCTCTGGAAATGTGCCAATATCTTGATAGGTTCAAAGGAAAAATTAATATAGTTAAGGACTTGTCAGTCTGACTTTGATCCTGCACAAAATGAGGCTCCCATTCTGAGAGGCTGGGCTAACAGTTTTTTAAAGTAGTAGATCTGTTAGACTAATAATGTTTTGAGAAGTGAGTGAAACTATTCAGTTTGTGATGAAGTTTTTTGATTTATGGAAAATATTAAGCTTGTTAGTGTATGATGTTTCTGATTACAGCTTGAGTGATGCAGTACCAGTATGATAAGTGCTTAGAGTTTTGAAGTTTATGATTTTTATTTGTTAAATTTTTTTAAAATAAAGATTTGTCAAATTAATGGGAAGCCATAAAATGATTAATTTTTAATTACCTATTGCTAGGTTTTCTGTTATCTTTCTTTTTCTTGTGTGTGTGTGTGTGTGTAAGTGACCTAAAAGAAAACCAAAATTTGCAAGTAAAATGGGATTCGAGTGAAAAGTACAGCTGACAGGGATCATTTTGTCTTTTCTGTTTGAGGTAGAATTAATGCGCAACTTAATGCTTTGCTACTGAAAACAAACACTGTATGCCATGCTTGGCATGGAAAAGACCATGATTATAAAAATGAGTGAGGATCCTATGACTGATAAATGGAAGATGAGATCACAGAGATGCTGAGAAGCAGTTCTAGCCTTTTTGCATTTGACGTACTGTGATTGCCATTCAGCTATTGTGTGAAGCTCTTGTAATAAGAATGGGAGAAACAATTCATAAACAGAAGCTGAAAAAATAATTTAATGCAATTTTAACATTTCTGCAGTTTAATGGACTTCAGCTTTCCAAACTTGTCCAGTGATAACAGTGTTTCACACAGTTAAAGCACTTGGGTCATTGCTCTAGGAAGCCTGAAGGGCTGAGCAGAATCTTTCTGCAAACTGCTACGAACTGCTTTGATTTAAAATACTGAGAAGTGCTGTGTAGTGAGAGGCTCAGAGAACTCTAAGTTATTTTTGTTTTTAAGTGTTTCTGGGGGCAATACCTTTGACCGGATTTTATTTTCTTCTTAGGAAATTATCTATTTCTGTGCATTTGTCATCTTTGACCCTATTTTATTTATATCTCTGGGGATTGTGTTTTGTTTGTTTGTTTGTTTGTTTTTTTAAGAAAACTGATTCCACTGGAAGATTTAACAGCTGAGAATGTGTTATATTGGAGGTGTCTTTGTGAATATCTAAAATCAAAAGGTGAAGAAGGTGAAGATCTACTAGAACAAATGTTGCCAGAACCAGCTATATACGCAGATTATTTATTAAGGTACATTGTATTTAAAAATAAATCTCTTGCCACTAGAATAGATTTTTTTTTTTCAAAGTAAAGTATTTTTTACTTATCTATGCAGGTTTCCTCCAAAGCCAAAGTTATTCTTGAACAGTGATTTTTTTGTTTGTTTTTATTTTTTTAAACTTCTTAAAAGATATTGGAGAGGATTTACTTTTTGTAAACAAAAACTGTGAAAAGTAAACTTATAACTTGAAAACATTTTTTAGAGTGTCCTTTCTCATGAATTATCAGCAAGATGGACTGCTAGATCAATAATATGATTCTTTGCCATTTAAGATAATAGAATAATTGTTCTGTAATATGCAGCTACCTTTTGTCCAGCTGTTATTATATAGGTTGCTGTGTGTTTGCAAAGAGCTTGCAGAAAGAGGCTTTTAGAGGATTTAGAAACCAATACTTTTGTCAGTGTTGTCATTTGTAATAATAAAGCAAAATCTGGCTGCTGCTCCTAAGAGAAGTGTTTTGAAACCAAAAGTTCATTCCCTTCTCTTTTTTTCCTGCTCAGGCAGGCACGCTTCCTGAAAACTTAAGTTTGAGGGCAGTGACACTTACTGCTAAATGAGCCAATTACACAATATTTAATTGGGAGGGAAGAATGTTTTAAGTGAATCTTTTTACTAAAGTGAAGAAAGGTAATTTTTTTTATCTCAATGGGATACTTTATCTTAATGTAAAAGTTGAACAGAATTTATGCTTGTGAAAATGGAGAATGCTGACAAAATTTTAACTGAGATATTGTACTTGCAAAATGTACAGCAAAGCTTCCTGAAATTATTACGAATAAGTTCTACTGAAAAGTGCATTGTTTTGATAGATGTTTCCAATTAAAAATGTGCATATTCTTTTCTCACTTCAGTGGGGCGTAGTATGCTAGTAGCACTTCTAGAAACCATTGCCACTTTTTGATGTGGAATGTGTTAACATGTTTCATGAACATTTAATAAATTAAGTGTCTGTGCTTCCTTAATTTTGAAATGTGCATCCAGTCTGGTGGGTGTGAATTTATTCCTTCCTAATTAATTTAAGAGTCCATAAAACACTTGTTCTCTAAAAGAAAAGCTTCCTTTTTTCCGTCCTTTCTTACTCAAAATGCCTTCATTTATCACCCCTTCAGGAAGAGGCTGAGTAAGATCAATTGGGTTTGATAGTACTTGTTTGTAGTATCAACTGTTAAACTGTTTGTTGGTGAGCTGTGCCACTCGTTGTTTTGGGTAAGATTTGTAAGTGTACAAACCAAGTCTTTATTTGCACTGGGAGAGTATCAGTTAGGAAGAGTAAGAAACTGCAAGTCATTGATATTTGAGAAAAAATTGCAGGATGATGAGCTTCATTTAAATATTTCACTATTATCTGGTGCAGGTAATATTATTAAATGATCAGGAACAGCTGCCAATGTTGTAATTTCAGATATTCTTAAATAGTAGCTACATGCAAAGCTTTTGTCCTAACTGAAGAAATTTTAAAAATTTGATAAATTTAAGGAGCTGTTGCTGAAAAGTGTCTGCAAAGCTCTCTCTCTCTATATTAGTATTTGTATTTTATATATTACATTATCTTCAGTATTCAATTTTGTACATGATATATTTCACTCCAGGTTTTCTGAATGTGCATGCTCTCAGTAAGGGATAAAATTTTGATAAAAAGAGCAACGATTCTAGAAAAATAAATAAATGGAACAAAGTGATTACACTTTCCGTGCTATGTGGCTGAGTGAATCTGACAACAGATTGTTGTCTTTCTGTGATGGCATACTTGATCAGATAAAGAATTTAAAATTCACTGCACACTTTAATGATTTTCTTGTATTTTGTCTTGTGGGCGATATAACACTTAGGAACATGTAGAAGAATACATAATACCTAAATATGCATAGAAACAGTAGTTGTATATATGAAAAATGGTACTTGTATACATTTATTTCCAATATGCTGTCTTTATGCAGGGATACAGAACTGAAATCACATGTACAAGCATAATTTGTCATTTTCTGTTTCTCACCTCTTTGCATTCTCAAACAAGACTATTTTTAATGAAGTACATTACCAAATACAAACTAAGTATGTAGAATTTAAAAATATGAGTAACTTTCTGGAACTGTTAATCTGTGAAAAAGGTAACACAACCAGTAACTATTAAGGTTTGTAACTAAACTAACAACTTGTTTTTATAGGACAGGAGAGTGGTGGGAATTTGTTTGGCTTTTCTTTTTTTTTGCAGGGTTGGGGTGTTTGGTTTTTTGGTTTCGGGTGGAGTTTTTCTGTGGGTTTTTTTGTGGTTTTTTTTTTTCTTTTTTACTTTCCAACAATGATTCTGAAAGTAATTATATCTGTTCTATTTGGATTCAGTTACCTTCAAAATATGCCAGTTCTTAGTGAAGAACAAAGAGAAGACTTTACTTGTTTTGAAAACCTGATGACCAAAGAGTTTATAGGCCAGCAGCTGATTCTTATGATAGGCTGCATGGATACCATGGAAGAGGGAGGAAGGTAAACTTGTATATAAATTCTCTGTTATTAAGCTTATGGCACTCATGCCTGTTGACAGGCATAAAGCCTCTGTTGGGAAAATAACCTCTTCAAACAGATGAAATACAGTTCTAATGGAAAAAAAAAGTACAGTCTCTAATGGAGTTGTTCCCAAAAGTATGCCTAATATTGTCTGCTTGCTTTTATGGCAAAATGAATTTTAATGCAGATACAACATTGTTTGGGCAGAACAAATTTGATTATTTTCTTAATGTATCCTTGAGATTATGCAGTTACAAGACTGTTCATTTGGAAAGTAGTATATAAAAAATAAAAGGACATAAATGGATTACTTCTCAGCAGATGATTTGTAGTAAGTAGCCTGTGTACTTCTTATGTTTTTAAGCCCAGTCTCCTAAGGCCTAAAAGGTTACAGATGTTTTAGATGCCAAGCTGAACTCAGCTGTGTTAACTGAGTCATTCCTGTAATTTGAACAGCCGTTTGATGTGAATTAAGAGGAAATAAATTTGGAAGTTCATACCATCACAGGCATTTTATGAAAAATTGCAGTTTTGAGAGTACAAACACAGCAATAAGTTCACTCTCAGTGGAATGCATTGTATGTATGCCAGAGTGGCAGGAGAGTTTAATTTGAACTTTTTTTTTTAGTTTCCAGACAGATAATTTCCATGAAAGCATTCTACAGTATTAATATTCTGACTATTTCCTGTTGGTATGACATTTCATTGGACAGTAGTGACACCTGATTTAAAAAATTCAGCATTTTCTAATTAAGATAAATCAGGTAAAAGCAGGAAAAGACAAACATTGTTAAGTAAGAAAATATCTTCAGCAGTTAATATAGTTGTATGGAAGCTTTTCTTATGTATTGTAAAGTCTTCACAGTAACTCAGAGTGGGTAAAATATGAACTCTTATGTCTTCCATTTTCTTAAATAAGCCAACATTGTTTTGGTTTTTTTTTTCCTTTAATGCAGAAAACACCTGTTAGCTACTTTACAAAAGATTCTCATTCTGCCTGCAACTTCAGCGGCGCTTGTATCTCTGCTTGTGGAAAGATTACTCAGTATCATTAAGGGTGATGACAAAAGGATTCAAACTGTAAGTAATTCTAAAGGCTCGTTGTTCTCTAGACTCTGCCTTCACTGCGTGTCAGACAACCTTTATGAAGCACTGGAAAAGAAAAATAAGGAGTTAAAATATATTTAATTTGGAAAAGCATTTATGTTCCACGCTTTTTATTTTTTCTTGAGCATAGCTGCATTTTGTGGTTGTCTGAAGATCTTTAGAGATTTGGCTGGTGTTGTAAATGTAATCCTCAAATTAGGACAGTCTGTTCCAGAATCCTTTGTCATAGTAGATCCAAACAATTTTGACTGAAACATTCAAAGTGACGATAATGTACATTTACAGATTTCAAATTTCTTTTCCCTCCTTTTAGCTGAGACAGCTACTAAAAACCTTTATAAAAAAATCTTTTATGTAGTAATGTTTTCACATACAGCATAATTATATAAACTTGACTCCTGAAAAATAGACTTTTGGCTTTGCTTGAATATTTTGAATGAACTATGCTCTTGTTACTAGAAATTCTTTTTCAAGCATGTGTTCATGCTTAGAGGAGATGGTGCCTGTTAACTGTTGGCATAGAAACTGCTTAACTTATTCATGGATATACAGTCTTTTGTTTTCTTGCTTACCTAGCTGAATGGTAGAAAACGCTGGAGTTTCATCATTAGACTGTGTATTGTCAGAGGATTTATTTGCAGTGAATTAGCTGCTAAGGGAAACTGCACTGATGTTCAATACTTTTTCAGAAGGATAGTATTTTAAATTTTGCGAAACTTAAATGCTTGGTGTCTGACATCTGAGCTAAAATTAATAGCATTAATGTACTGTTTCTATCAATAGATTGCAGAAATTATATCAGAACTTCGTGAGCCAATTATTACATGTGACCAGCCTGTTGGTCCTGAAATAAGAAGGCGAGAGCTTAAGGTAAGCAGATTTTAGTTAACAAGAAAAATATTTTTTCAGCATATCCATCTAGTAGAGCATTTTATTTAGTAGTATATTCTTGACTAGTGTCAGTAGCATATTGTTAGCTAGTACCACAAAGGTTGTGGTATTGTATTAATTTTCTTTTAACTTTGTATTTCAGCTGGCTGAAATAAAAGTGAAACTTTTTGAAGCAAAAGAAGCTTTGGAAGAATGCATTACCCTGCAGGATTTTAACAGAGCATCAGAAATAAAGGAGAAAATAACTGAACTGGAACAGATCAAAAATGATCTGATAAAAGAAGCAGACCAACCTGAAATTAAAGAAATGCGTGTAGAGAAGGTCTTTTCCCTTCCTGTATTCCCAAGTGCTGGTTATGTTTTGATGTTTTAAAAGAAAATGTGATTTGGCCTTGTATCACCTGCTCTTTTTTTTTAATTGAAAATGAATATTTATGTATTAGTATTCTCCTTCTGCATGTATAGAAGCTGGTGATGTGCTCTATCAAATAGTGAATTGCAGTTAAGCTGCTCTTTTGTCCTTGAGTAACTGAAGAATTCTAAAAGAGTCTTGTTTTTCCAACCGAAAACATTAACCTGAATGCTTTTCATCATAGTTTGTAGACAGATTTTGATTAATATTCTTGCACAACAAATGTGTATTGAACAGGAAATGTTTGTTTGAGTAGGGAAAATTTATGATTAATGTTCCTATTCTCCTTATCGCAGCCACTATTTATATTAATAATGTTTTTCTCTTTTCCCTCAACTACCTGAAGAATGATCCTGAAACACTGTTGAAGTGTCTGATGATGTGTTATGAACTTCTGAAGATCATGTCCCTTTCCAAAGGAATTGACCCAACCATTAATGAAATCATTGAATCTCTGGTATGTGGGAATAAATGCTGTTTACATTATAATAAAAACAGATACATCACAGCTGGCCCTTAGGTGCTGGCAGGATGATTTGCAGTTATTTCACAATCACTTTGCAGTATCTGTTGTGCTGTGTCTAGTGATTTTAAGCCTTCCCAGATCCTCGTGTCTTGGAGGTGCAATCCACATACGCTTTTCTGAGCTCCTAGGCCAGAATGGGTTGTGGCAGAGAGATACTAAAATAGAATGGGAAAATGGTAAATATTTGACTAATGTATGACAATGTTGAACAGTGCTGAGTTATATTGTACCAAGTGTGGTGCTTAGGTTTCTGCTTAATGCCCTTGTGAGTACTTGAATTACTTAGATGTTTCTATTAGATGAAGTTGAGATATCTAAAAAGAGAACTTCAGGATTTTTATTTTGTTTTATTTTCTAGTTAAAAGCTTTTCATATAGACCTTTCTGTCATCTATTTTGTGTACAGGGAAAGATGTTTGGGAGGATTTCCCTCCCTTGTTCCTCTCTGTTTTTTCAGCACCTTTGAAGACCAAAATATTCCTGTATTGAAAAATAAGGCAGTGGCATAATAGGCCTTTTGTGTGGTCTACAAGATAAAATCTCTGCTCTTCACAATTAAAACTAGGAAGTACACGATGAATATTTCTAAATATCACAGACTTTTAACTGTTGCTAAGTATGCAAACAAAATGGAAAAAAATGCCATTATATGAATGGTGCACCCACATCTGAATACTCCGCAATTTTCACCCTATCTGTCTAGAAAATGTGTATTTGAATTGGAAGTGGTCAAGAGAAGGGCAGCAAGGAGAGGTGTGGAATAGCTTCTGTATGAAGAATGACTAAGTAGGTTACCTGTTTGTAACCTGGAGAAGAGGGGGGGACAAGGTCTGAGAGAAGGCAGAACTCATAGGACCTGAGTGTTATGTATAAAGGGAACATGGATTGGTTGTTTGCCTCATAACGCCAGCAACTAGCAAGCTGAAAAAAAAGTTGATTCTTTACATAATATCTAATCTGTGCAATTTCTTGTTGAAGAATGTGTGCATGGTGAACACTTGCATAACTTTCAAGGAAGACTAAGCAAGAAAAATAAATATTATGGAATGATTAGGTAGATAGAAACAGCCTCTTAGCTCTGGTATGTCTCAACTGCAAATTGTTGGGACCTTGACAAGAATTCTTGAGAAGCATCTGCTTAGTCCATTTATGTGAAAATTTTTAGGAATTTGGTTTTGATCCTTCTTGATAATGAGATGATGGGCTAGATGACCTGACTCACTATGAGCATTCTTAGAATTCAAACAGCAAAGAAAATTGCAGCACCAGTTTAGATTAGTTCAAATGTGGCGGAACCACACTTGATTTCTTTCAGATGTATTTCAGAAGTATTCTTAGAAATCCTAATTAGTGTGTTGCCCAGAAACATTTTCTTTTTCATTAGGTCTTCCTTTAATTTTCACATCTGTTGTTTATTCCACTTTTCTTTCTCCAAGATCTTGCTTTCGTATTGTTCCTGCTGGATTTTCACATATTACATGACTTGGAGTATCTTATTTGTTGTTCAAACAATAAACACTTCATTCAAAAATATAAAATGATGCTATTGTAGTCTTCACCCTATATCTAGTTTGGCTTTTCTTTTTGTTTTCTCAAAACATAAAAGTTGCACCTGTATTTTGCAACTTGGAACAGATATTGTTTCTCTGAAATGATGCTAAAGTCTTTTATGATTAAAAGTCTAAGTTTGCTGCTGAGTGGGGATTTTTGTTGGTTTTTTTTTTTATTTTTAAGGAGTGATCAACCAAATTTAGTTTAAAAACAAGTATTAAAAACAAACACAGAGCAAAATACTCATGTGATTTTTGCTATTATTTTATTGCTGATTTCAAACAGCATAGTTGATCTGCTTCTGTTTATATCTAAACGGAGTATATATAGTAGTTATCACTTTTCAATCTTGTAACAAATTAAATTATTCCTGGTTTTAGGGTAAGCACGTTTTTGTAAGCACATTAATTTATTTTCAATTTATGTATATTTCTACTATAAAGTCTAATATTGCTTCCAGGTACTTCCTGGCGTAACTAATGTCCATCCAGCTGTGAGAAATATGGCAGTTCTGTGTTTGGGATGCTGTGGCCTTCAGAACAAAGAATTTGCCCGAAAACATCTTGCACTGCTGTTACAGGTAAAATGTCTGATGGGAAAATGGAACGATTTAGGAAATAAAACTAGTCTTGTATCTTTAACAAGCTGTTCTACATAGTTAGGTTATTTTGAGAACCAGTGATTACTGATTTCCTAAAGATCTGGATCTGGAGAGTATGCTTTCGTGCAGATTTTTCTGATGTCTAATACCGTTCAAGCTGGTACTGTATCTTGGTAGTAGCATGCCTTTCCTTTGTCAGGTCACCTGCTGTCTGGAAAGTCTGTAGGAATTCTTTATCTGTAAGATCTGACTTTCCCTTCCGAATCTAGGAGAAATCAGTCATGTATTTATGTTATTACAACATAAAATAGAAGCAGTAGGATTCTGTGAGTCGTCTTTGCTTGGGAAATCAAACAAAAAATGTGACTGTGATTGCTTTCACATTTCTATTACATAATTATTATGATCTTGATTGTCTGGTTTAATTTCTGAATTATTAATTTTGTGTGGCTTAAGGAAGAGCTGGTAATTAGAGGATAAAGCAACATTCGAACCAACAAAAGATAGCGCAGCAAAACATTTATGGATATGGAAGGTGTTGGATGCCGTAATACCCATATTTTGCACCGTGGTGATAAATGTTTTGATGCTGATCTAGTTAAACAATGACACTACTGTTAAATTTTCAGAGCGTGGCTTTGAGAGAAGTGTAGGTGGCCGTCGTGCTTTCTGAAGAGTGTGTTCATGTACACACGAGAGAACTGACGGCAGGTGTTGAGATGATACGCTTGTCGCAGACAAGATGATGGGATTGTCAGTCACTATAGTAGAACTTTGAGTTCCTAAAAAATTAGCTTGTCCTATTGTTTTTTCTTTGCCTTTAAGTATGTTTGTTCAGGGAGGATTTCAATTGTATTAGCAACGTAGACTTTAGAATTAAGTAATTTCTATAGGTACTAAACCCCATATTCTTTGTGTGGGCTACCATCAAAATTGGGGTGTTGAGCTAAACAGATCTAGGATCTCTAGGCTAATCTGTGATCTATGGTTTGATTTGAATGTAAATTTGGACTATAATGCATAGAATAACCTCTGCAGCTGACTTTTATTACTGTCTTGCTCCCTGCTGCCTTTTTACATACTGTTTGTTTTAATTAAGCTGTACAGCATTTCAGAGCAGGGGTTGTGTTAGGTATTTTTTTCTGTAGTGCCTAACACTACGGAGCTGCTGGCAAATAGACTTTCTGTATGTCCAATGTCTGTTTAGAAGCTGAACAATAAAATTACACTTCTCAGATGCATACTCACTCCATAAATGAAATTCAATTGATTTTATGTAATAGAAATGGCATAGGTGACTTGATAAACTATTTCTCAGACTGTACTATAAATTCAGGTTTAAACTTGTATAACGCCTCCCTAAAGTCTGAAATTTTAAAAAGTTTCCGAATTTAAACAACCTTTTTAAAGCAAAATATCTTAACGTTGACATTGGTGGTCTGCTGTAAGATGATGTATGCATTTTCCTCATTAAACCTAGGTTTTACAAATAGATAATATAAAGGTAAAGCTCAGTGCTTTAAAGGCAATCTTTGATCAACTAATGCTCTTTGGGATTGAGCCATTTAAAGCCAGAAGCGGCAATAACTCTCAAAGTGAAGGTGCACACAGTGAGACTGAAAATTGTGAAGAAGACAAGGAAGAAATAGAGGAGGAAGACGAGAGTGCTACGATTCACAACCTCCTGCAGCTTCTCTCTGGTTTCTTAGACAGTGAGGTAAGAAAGGCTATAAAATTTGCCTTAGTTTTGTTTTAAAATTATTTTTGCAGGAAGTTTACCATCCCACTACAGTTGCATGTGAAGGTTACATGTGAATATTACGTGTAATTGCAATAAATTGTCTAATGTTAAAACAGTTGTCCTAGAAAATGACCTTGACTTTGTTATGGATACAGACTATCACTACTCTTGAGCTAGCTTTGAATTCTGTGCCGGTGCAAATATACGAATGTAGAGAATTGATTAGCAAACTAGAATGTAAACTAATATTATAAAGTATTAGTGAAAAACACTGTGGTTGGTATCTTGTGTGTATGATCAGTTCTTCTTTCAGTTTTCAGAACTCAGGACAGAAGCTGCAGAAGGCATAGCCAAGCTGATGTTTTCTGGGAGGCTGATTAGTGCCAAGCTGCTTTCTCGTCTTATCTTGTTGTGGTATAATCCTGTGACTGAAGAGGATACTCGGCTTAGGCATTGTCTTGGAGTCTTCTTCCCTTTATTTGCTTATGCAAATAGGTATGGCCTTTGTAAATTGTCATGTAAAGAATACATATTGGTCTAGCAGCTTCAGGAAGCCTTTTCGATCTTGCACAGATGCAGATTATACCTAAAGGTCCAGTTCAGCCTCCTGCGCATATTACTTTGGAACGTACATGATCTCAACCTATGACTGTTCTGAAGACTTTCCATTAATTCCCTCTTACCCTTGTGGCCTTTCGCTTTCTTTTCTTTCCTAAGCCTATAATTGAAACTGTTCTTCAAATCAATTTTAAAAGATGCGCTTTACTTAATTATGCACTATGGGACTACAGGTAGACTTTGAAGAGTCACTAAAAACTAGCCACCAGGAATACTTCCAAAGGAAATAATTGGTGTCCAGCAGATATCAACGCAGCAGGCTGCTTGGTTGTGGTTTGGGTTTTGTTTTTGTTTTGCTTTTTAACCAAAGAATATTCCAATCTAAATTCACAGCAGATTCAAAATCTCCTGTTTAGTTTATTAGCAGACAAAGGAGCTAGAGAGCTTATGTAATGGGTTAGGGGCTTAAATAGTAATTCTCATCTCCTTTCACTTGCTCAAAGAAAAAAAAAAAGGTTAACTTTTCAGTTGCTACTAGTGATTTTTAGCCAGTCTGAACTAGCTAAATTTTTATCTAGACTGAATTGGTTTTATCTAGCTCAAACCAGGACAACTTTTTTATGGTTAAGTTTTAACATGGGCATATTATCTATAACCTTATCTACTTTTCTAAACCAAATTGAATTAATTTCTTTGTGGCCTATAAATTGCCACATCGAGAGGAGTAGTTCAAACAGGAGTTAGTTTGGAGACTAAAAAAACCCAAACATGTTTCTGATGATCTCAGGAAAAAAAAGAAGAGAGAGAAAAATAACTAGAGTCCTCCAGAATGGGTTTTTCACAGAATCACAGAATGTAAGGGGTTTGAAAGGACCTCAAAAGATCATCTAGTCCAGCCCCCCTGTCAGAGCAGGATCGTCTACAGGAGGTCACACAGGAACGCATCCAGG